GGGGGGGGGGGGGGGGGGGGGCGGGGGGTGAGGGTTGGGCGGGGTGTTTTTCCGCCGCCCCCTATCGCCCCGGGGACGACGAACCGTGGTGCATGGGGGCCGCAATCGGCCAAACCTGCCACGTCAGCAGATAAATAAAACTGGCCCGGTCCGCTAGGGTGCTTACCCTGGCGAGCCGCGTGCCGAACGTTGCCGACCCCTGTACTAACCAATGCCTTTACCTGTATCACTCGTAATACCTTGGATTAGTAAAACTGTAAGTCTTATTTCTTGTGACTATTTTGGCTGTTTTCATTGCAATAATGTCAAGAAAATATCTAAACACTCTATTTCTTGGGCTAAAAAGAAGGCCTATCCGTGTTCCTTTAGCCACAGTCTGGTGACAATAGCTATTCTGACACTTAGATAAATGCAGACAACATTTTGCATTATACATATTTGCTAAGGTACATATTGTAGGGCCTGCAATATAGACAGACATGCAAAGGAGAAAGGGTTCTCTTTCATACATGCAGAAATGTGACAGCTGTGTGAAGTATGCTATTGGTCTGATTCCACTTCCTAATGGATCGGTGTCTGCACTACCTTGATTGGCACCCTCCTTTGGTCAGTTCTTAGCAAACTAGGCAGGCATTGGGTGCACATGAAGAATGGAACACGCTCTCATCTGCAATAGGCGGGGTGAGGTACGTTGGCCAGTCACTGTGGAAAAATTTGCACTTGTGCTGCCTGACTTCTACCTGTTCTTGGGTTTAAAAGGGCTTGGGGCTAATCAAGCACTTTTCATTAGCACTGAAGTCACTTTTACCAGGAGGCTGCCTGTAGGAATGGCAAGGCACAGTGGAGTTTGCACCATATAGTCACATGCCCATGCTGTTTTTCTAATTTTATTCCTCAGCTCCTCCCACTCAGACCAGAAGATTAGGCTCATTCTGCTGTTTAGCTGCCCCTCCCTGCATCCAAACTAAAACCACATGTTTACCTACACCTCTGCAAAGCATGTTTTGAGGAAATTCTATATAAAATTGGTGCTGCTGCAAAAGGAGCAATAGCTTGAAGCTGAGGCAGATTTGGTCACAGCAGCAGATGTGAGCAGTTAGCCTTGGAATAAACAGTGACTTTGCATAAGTGTGAGATTGTTTGGCAGCCCATTTCCATATGGTGCAGACGCACTGAAGTCAAAATGTGTGTGTGGGAGGGGCGGGAGGGTGTATAACAGGAGCAGGCTGAGCAGGGTTTCTGTACACACAATTCCACTTCAAGAAGCAAACAAAAATCATCACCTGCCCTTGTCCTGAACTGTATATGTAAATCACAGAGTAGTCTACAATACATTCATCCCCAATGAGTCTGGCGAGGAAAGTGAGAATTAGGCACACACAGAGAAAAAGAGCAATTGCATCTATATAGACAATCAAATCAAACACATTGGTTTGTCTTCAGTAGCTGCAGGAAAAGCATTGTGTTGTAAGACCATGAAGGAACCAGGCAGTCCTTGAGCTGGGCTGTGAGCTAGTAGGTACAGAGTCTGAGCTCCTAGATCAGCTTCTACCACTGATGCGCTCTGGTAGAAATCCTTGGGCTACATCTGGCTAAAGCTCAGACAACCTATGTGCAGGGCTATTTAATCATTGCGCTAAGGGTTTATATGGGGTGTCAGGGGTGTGGTTTCACCCTCTGGGACCTGGGGCAATTTACTTTACCTTTCCGTACCTCCGACTGCCCTGCTGTGGAATGGGGAAGATAATGGCAGACACACAGGGGTGGGGGTGAGGGTTTGAGTTTGTTTACAAAGAGTTATATTAGTAATGATTATGCGTGTTGATGAGGCAAGCATACGCATAATAATAGCTGGACTCTCTACAAAAAATAGAGGATATGTTCTCCCTTCCCTCTCCATATTCAGCAACCAGACCAATCAGAGCCAGGGATAATTCCAGCCAGGAGCCATAGGCCCTGATTCTTCCCTGCATCAGCCATAGGGCCAGTGCCAGCAGAGCAGGGAAGTGACTTGCTGCCAGAGTGCTGAAATATTTTTATAGTGGGGGTGCTGAGAGCCATTGAACCAAACTGTGAAGCCTGTTTATAATGGAAACCACTTCAAGCTATGGGCTGAGGCAGCATCCTCTAGTTCCAGCACCTAGGCTTGCAGCTCCCTGATTCTGGACATGCTGAGGATCAATCCATCATGCAGCATATGTAAGGGCAGCCTGAAGTTGCACCCCAGCTGAAATAGCTGTAACTGGAGAAAAGGGTCCATGGAGCAACCAGACATGGCTGCCTGAGAGCACTCAAAACGCCCATCAGCAAGAGTGACATTGTGACCTTGTTCTTTATGAAGATAACACTGTCCCCTGGAGACCACTGTCATCTTAAATTAACTTATTTCCTCAATTTTAGTCTTTTACCAGTTTCAGTTTTTTCAGTGGCTCTGACCTGGATTGCTAGTGGAAAGAAAAATGACTCCTTGATATAAATGTTATTAAAAATAAAATCAATAAATCCTATCCCTATGACAAAAACCACTGTAAGCAGAGTCTGAATGAGCTCTCCCATGACATCTAGTGGTGAGCTGTGGAAAAAGACTTCAGAAGCTGATCTCGTTTGCATGGACACACGCACCCTGCCTAGGTGCTCAGCATGATGGGATTGTTTGCCCAAATGATCACTTGTGGCTGGTGTTGGATCCCCAGTCTCCTTGTTATTGGGGCAGGAGTAATAAAGCGTTGTTATCCTTGTTGTGTGAACCGAGGGCAACAGAACTGTATCTGGCATACCCCGATGGAGGTACTCACCCTCAATTGAACAGCACTAGCTAGGCAGGGGACATGGGTTCCAAAGCTCAATGAGTTGAGAGAGGGTAGGGGACAGATCTGTATCTGGATATGAGGGTCCTAGACATGACTTGATCCTTCCCTTCGGTATACTAAAAGAGCTAATTTAGATTCAATTGAGAGTCTTGTTACATACTTCAGAGCTGAAATCACTTGTACCTAGGTCTAAGTATTAGACCTACTTGGGGATAGTGTCTCTAGTGCAAGAGACTTCCCAGTGTGCACCAGCAGTGAGGCTCCCCCACTAAGAGCTGAAATCACTGAGAGCTGTGTTAAGTTTGGGGGGCCCTGAAGACATCTTGGTGAGTGGGTGGCTGGTGGAGAGGTGCAGCAAGCGGCCAACAGGGAGGCTGGTGGAGAGGGCCAGAGCAGAGCCCCACAGAGGCATGGCAATCCGCCGTTGGGGCGACGATTGAGTGCCTGAGCAGTGGAGCGTGTAAGGTGCCTCCTTACCCCCCTCACACACAGGGTGGGAGGTGAACTCTGCGGAGGAACCTCTGAACTCTGGGGCTTCACTGGCCAAGGGCAGCAACTGTGAGTGGGGTGCGGAGAAGGGACGAGCACGTTAAAGGGACTTTTGGGTTGCTGGACTTAAGAAC